TGCCTTAATCACCTGGCCATGCCGGGCCTCGATGGTGCACAGCTGGGGAATAATTGTTGTGACTTCAGGCAGTTGTTGTTGTAATGAGCCTGCTCATACAAAAATAACGAATTTGAATTAACATTATTGTTTAAAAATTCCGTTTCTCACGAGCTTTTGGTCTTATAATGTTCAAAATCGAGGTTTAATACCCGCGAGTGGCAGAATGCATATATAGCCAATAGAGTAGCTTCGCGCTTAAACAGTAACAAAAAATCTTCTTCCTCTCCCTCAAGACAAATACCCAATAAGAAGATAACGTTTATTTACAAATTAAGTCAAATTCAAGTCGTGTGCTTGATATGATATTCCCCACTTACTTCTAAGGAATAAACTTGGCACATAAGAATTTTTACCTCAGTAAAAGAATAAAAGTAATCCTTCAACAAGGACGAAACTAAACACAATATATATATATGGTACTTTAACACTGAAGGGGGAGAACTTGGTTGTTGTTTTTTGAGAGACTGACTGTTGCTATGCTGTGTGAGTTCAATACTATTGAAATATGTATCGAAATCCAATGAACGTGAAAGGAGTTTTATTATTGCCAGAAATCATTTTTGGGTTGTGGACGTCCAGAGGACAGAGATTTTTATATACGATAAATGATCAGAGTACATAGGTCTATTTATATGATAAATGATCAAAGTACATAGATCTATTTATATGATAAATGGTCAGATGACAAAGATCTATTTATATGATAAATGATCAGAGTACATAGATCTATTTATATGATAAATGGTCAGAAGACAAAGATCTATTTATACGATAAATGATCAGAGTACAGAGATCTATTTATATGATAAATGGTCAGATGACAAAGATCTATTTATACGATAAATGATCAGAGGACAAAGATCTTTATATACGATAAATGATCAGAGTACAAAGATCTTTATATACGATAAATGATCAGAGTACAAAGATCTATTTATATGATAAATGATCAGAGTACAGAGATCTATTTATATGATAAATGGTCAGATGACAAAAATATATTTATATGATAAATGATCAAAGTACATAGATCTATTTATATGATAAATGATCAGAGTACAGAGATCTATTTATACGATACAGGTTCAGAGGACAAAGATCTATTTATATGATAAATGATCAGAGGACATAGATCTATTTATATGATAAACAATCAGAGGACATAGATCTATTTATATGATAAATGATCAGAGTACATAGATCTATTTATATGATAAATGATCAGAGTACGTAGATCTATTTATATGATAAAGGTTCAGAGTACAGAGATATTTTTATATGATAAATGATCAGAGGACAGAGATCGTTTTATATGATAAATGATCAGAGGACATAGATATATTTATATGGTAAATGGTCATAGTACAGAGATATTTTTTGATCGTAGGGATTCAGGGTACAGAGATCTTTTTTGATCGTAGGGATTCAGGGTACAGAGATCTTTTTATCGTAGGAATTCAGAGTACAGGGATCTTTTTTATCGTAGGGATTCAGAGTACAGGGATCTTTTTGATCGTAGGGATTCAGAGGAGAAGAATTGGTACTGTCCACACATTGTTACAAAGTTTCTTTCATTGAAAACACATCAGTAATTTTGTTTCCACCTTCTGGTAAAATACTTTACGTTGGCGAAGAAAGTAATAAAAACATGTTTATAAGTAAGATATATGTTTATAAGTAACCTAAGTTGTAATCTAAGTTATAATCTAAGTTGTAATCTAAGTTGTAATCTAAGTTATAATCTAAGTTATAATCTAAGTTATAAACTAAGTTATAATCTAAGTTGTAATCTAAGTTGTAATCTAAGTTGTAATCTAAGTTGTAATCTAAGTTATAATCTAAGTTGTAATCTAAGTTATAATCTAAGTTGTAATCTAAGTTGTAATCTAAGTTATAATCTAAGTTGTAATCTAAGTTGTAATCTAAGTTATAATCTAAGTTGTATTTATGGTAAAACTACAAAGGGCATCTCCGCCGTCCATAGGATTGAACAACTGACCAGATGGAAGGCAGCCGATCAGCAGCACCCTACCACTAACCATCAAAGTCAAGGAATTGAGTGTCACACTTATCACGCATCCACAGCTTAAAGTGCACGGAATGTTTTGTGGTATTGCACGGATTCGAACCCGGCTTGTCAGCTCCGAAATCCTGAGATAACATTAATTAATTTAGATGGAGGATCGTACTTCGTCTGTGAGAAGTTTGAGAACGATTTTCCAGCGAAGACATTTCTTTTACTGGTATCACGAGTCGTAACAAAAAAATAAAAAATAAAATGGCTTCAGGGGTAAAAAAAATAAATAAATATATTGTTTTGTTGCTAAGCGCATAGCTGCATAATGGACTGCAGGAATTGAACCCCGAGTTTTAGAGTTAGAGCCTCCGAGGGAAAAACGAATAACACCACAGAATGAAAAACTAAAATGTACGATTTATTTGGTACTGGTTGCCACAAAATATAAAAATAAGGGAAGGCAACTAGTCAACTACACACACCGCCAATTCTTGGTCTACTCTGACGTGATCGAATATTCAATTTTCACCGTTACTCTAATGTCGCCTCGAAGGCTCAAAGTGCGGATTAGGTTTTAGCGACAAAGGGTCGCAAACCACTAATCCTCGGATTCACAGCCCGGACACGCTACCCACTAGGCGACGCCCTGCTTCAGTTTTTAAGTAAATTCAATACTTAGATGTCGTTTATCATTATGTGAGAGGAACGGTAGGAAAAGATGTCTGTAAACCTCACAGAAGGGGGAATTGTACTTTTCAGGATTTAAGATTTAACTAGTGTTCCCGTAAAAAGAAAAAACCAGCACTCACCGGTCTCGTGCGCTTTACCGAACGTTTTCACGATCTTCAGGTAGAGTACACCGTAGGACAGTTGCAGCCCCGAGGTGAGGAAATGCACGAAGAAAGCACAAACACAAATCACCCATCCCCACCCTCCTTCGGGGTAGTAGTGCTGACGGATAGTTGAAGTTTTGGGGTCTAGATTTGTAACTATGGACTTTCCACGGTCGTAAAGGGCACGATCTTCGGTTCTACTTTCCCTACCGTTTCGATACGGCAACGTCGCTGCTCGGCCCGTTGAACGGCCGGCAGCTACGGACCGTTGGGTGACCACTGCTGCTGCCGTCGCCGTTCCCATCGGTTTCCCGCTTCCATCGCCGGCGAATATCACCTGTCGCGACGGCAAGGATTTCGTCCGTCTCCGGCCCACCGGTCCTAGAGCCGGAAAGCTTTCTGAGGCGGAGTTTGACGCAGTCTCTCCGTCGCTGGGTTGGACTTGGATTTCACACTTCTCGGTTCTAGATTCTCTCCCCTCGTCCATGATCCGTGGTCCTCATTTTCTTAATAAACTAACAATGACAAGAAAAACTTACCGTACAGAGAACACTATTTACTGGCTTTAATTGGATTCTCTCATAAAATTAGTTAAATAAACTCTTAGTAGTACAACTTAGGCATTAACAGTCATTTTTCTAACACCCAGCTTTTACTGCCCTAATAAATAAAATCATAATTCGGGGGGGGGGGGCCTCACCCATGGAAGAAACCTTCGTCAAGTTTGTGGACTTTCATAAAGTTGCTTAATAAACCTTGGTGAAACGTCTTAAGCATGCGAAGCCTATAAGTAGCTTAAACTGTCGACAAACGATGCGCTTATTTAAAGTTTTCCAAGTGTTAACTGAGAACTAACTGGGGCGGTGTTTACGATTACACGATTTGAGAAATCTACGAATCCAGGCAACTACTTTGTCGTCACGAGCTGAACTCGTGCTGCTCGGGCTGATCTCGCACTAAACCTAGTTCGTCACGGAGCACGCGCTTCTATAGCCCCGTCAGCATGGCCTCCCCTTTCTGCGCCCCCTTTTTAAAAATTCCCTTCACACGATGTCTCTTGTAGGTTTTGTGATTACCTCATTACTGAGTACACTACTCACTCAGATATGCTGGATGTTACAACTAATGTTCTTCACGACGTTTCTTTGTCGTTTCCTCTTGTTTTGTGGATGTTACAACTGATGTTCTTCACGACGTTTCTTTGTCGTTTCCTCTTGTTTTGTGGATGTTACAACTGATGTTCTTCACGACGTTTCTTTATCGTTTCTTCTTGTTTTGTGGATGTTACAACTAATGTTCTTCACGACGTTTCTTTGTCGTTTCTCTTGTTTTGTGGATGTTACAACTAATGTTCTTCACGACGTTTCTTTATCGTTTCCTCTTGTTTTGTGGATGTTACAACTGATGTTCTTCACGACGTTTCTTTATCGTTTCTTATTGTTTTGTGGATGTTCTAACTAATGTTCTTCACGACGTTTCTTTATCGTTTCCTCTTGTTTTGTGGATGTTACAACTGATGTTCTTCACGACGTTTCTTTATCGTTTCCTCTTGTTTTGTGGATGTTACAACTAATGTTCTTCACGACGTTTCTTTATCGTTTCTTCTTGTTTTGTGGATGTTACAACTAATGTTCGTCACGACGTTTCTTTGTCGTTTCCTCTTGTTTTGTGGATGTTGAAAAGGATGTCTTTAAGATATTTTTCTTTCCCACAAGCTTCTATTTCGGTTATGCTGGAACATGATGTAAATTTTTCCGTCACGTTTTACGTAGGGATGACCAGGTCGAGGTACAACATACCGTTTCATGAGATTTTTAACTCACAAGTCCAGCCACACGTGTAATTCTGATAGAGTAGAATCAGTAGTTAGCTGGGACAGCGGTGAGTCTACGAACTTACAACGCTAAAATCCGAGGTTCGATTCCCCTTGGTGGACACAGCAGTTAGCCCAATGTGGCTTTGCTCTAGAACAAACAATAGTTAGTCTAGGTTATCAGAATTTCGCTGACCGCATGGAGTTACGGAGACAATCATTTATACGAGATTAACCTTTTTTCTACAGTAGTGACAAGATTAACCTTTTTTCTACAATAGTGACAAGATTAACCTTTTTTTCTACAGTAGTGACAAGATTAACCTTTTGTCTACAATAGTGACAAGATTAACCTTTTTTCTACAATAATGACAAGATTAACCTTTTTTCTACAATAGTGACAAGATTAAC